AGAATAGTAATAATGATAATAATAGTAATGGCTGTTGCTGTTTCGTTTTGTCTTTTAATTTTTTCCATTATCCTCGTGCTATTGTCCTTATTCTGTATCGTAACAGTAAATTAATTTGTAATATTTTCACAGCATAGAACATAGCAATTTCTGTCCAGTTGATCGTTGGAAATAAATTTCTAATAGGTGATAAAAACTTTTTTTTCAGGAAGAAGGTATGGAAGATGATGAGAATAATAATGGCATGGTATCAGAAGGTTTGGTAGCATCAGAAACCGAATCGAGTCTTCAGAAGGAGATTGGAAGTGAACAGAACACGACGAGTGAAAGGCGCACAGACAGTGGAGATCTCGAGAAGGCATGATTTATAGATACGTATATATCATTGGCATTTCTGTGATTTAGGGGCACAAAGGGCACAAAAAACGTTGAATTCATCGTTTTGTTGTTCTGATTCATTTGTTGTTGTTGTTGTTTCGAGATGAAAGACAACGATAATAATAATAATGATGACATCATCCGCTCGCGTAATTAATTGCAAAGCAGCATTCGTATTGTTATTATTATTGTACTTCAATGATAATGATAATAACAGTGACAGTGGTGATAACATTATATATTCAGACGGATGATCATTCTGATGTTATAACTCTTCTTACGGTTGATATTTGGGAATAAAAATAGAATATATTATATAAGTGTATTGAACACAACGAATCGTACACAAAGGATTTGCTGGCAAGAAATTAGTTGTTTTGTCCGATCGAGGAAAGTATTCGGTGTGAGAAGGAAACGTTTGTGATGCTCTTTTGTGCCCATAAATAGCAGAAGTGTCAGTGGTCGTTTCGTTCAAACGACGAGGAAACAAATTCTGAGTGAACTTTTTACTGAATACTAATGTGAAATAGTAAGATGAATTGGGGTGTGTTATAATGTTTCAATGCAAATTTATAAACAAATCAGTATGGCAGAGGTGAACATTATAGAACTTGATTAGTGGAATTAATTCGCCAAAGGATTTAGGGTGGCATATGATGGGTATCATTATGAGTGATGTGATAGTGATGATAAAGTTTCAATAATTTAATGGAAGTTAGTGGCTCAAGGTAGTGATACTTACGACTGATAATTGAACGTTACCTTATCGCTGGTGAGAATTTTGAGTGAATTTGTATGCGAATACTTTTGCGTTATCCAGGAACCGAAACAGGTAATCGCGATCACATCAAATACCCAACGATCGAATGCATTCGCCATGAATCTAAAACTTTGAATGAAATTAAAATAAG